AACACCTGTTCTACAACCTAATTGCTTCTCATCCTTTCTAGGCTTCAGTACTGCACACTGGTAAAACGGTGTGGGCGGGGGTCCAAGAGCACTGCTCTGAGGAAGAATGGAGACAATGCATGTATTTAGTTAGACATTACCTGGTATAGCCCATGCTTGAATATATTTAGTTTTGTGGCCTCATGAAACAGAACAACCCATAATGAGCCCACCTTCCTTATACTGACCTCAAATCTGTCTCCCTGAACCTTAACCCATCTGTCCTAGTTTGACAATCCATGGGGTAGTTCCAAAGAATCAGAACCAGGGAACTACAGAACAGTGTGTTTACTCACTGATCGAGCTCTGCGACTGGGCTGTGTCCCTCAGATGGCTAGCCACTTGGGACCACAGTCAGGGCTGACCTCTCCCCGTCCACATTACTGTGAAAGTTCCAGCCTACAGTGGTGTTACTGCAGGAGACCTTTTTGAGCATTCTAAGCAAGTTGGATGCCACCTAGAAAGGCACCAATTATATTGCTTACGAGGTTTATTTTGCACTTTATGTCATGGTCAGTTCAGCACTTGGCACCAAAAGTCATTATTGTAGGTATCTGTATATTCTTTTAAGTTTCACTGCTGAACGCTGCAGATCACCAATACCCGGGAGAGTCATAGCTGGGTTTCAGCTTTGGAGCAGTGGTAGTATAATAGAGGACTGAGGTTAGGGTCAGAAAACCCTGGAAATTCTGCCCTACACTCCTCCCAACCATCCTTCCCTTCCCCCACCCCTGTATGCCCAATAATAGCTATTGAAATCTTACCCAAAGCCTTTCAATAATCAGCTCAAACAACTGTCACTCTGGGAAGGTCCCCACCATCCTCCCAAGCAGAATGAACTTTTCCCTCCTGAGCTCTCTTAGACCTTTGTTTCGGGGACACATGTGTTTTTCTCCTGCTAGACTATAAACTCCTTCCCGGCAGAAACAGGTCCTTGTACAAAGTGAGTCTTATTAAAGTTGAAAGAATTGAATTTTGTCCTGAATACAATACGATGGGTGTGGCAGCTCTTCCTTACCTCACTTTTCATCCCTACATGGAGCTAAAGATGATTTATTTTTTAAAGCTTTTAAATGAAAAGGTTGTGTAGCTCTGCAATACAGTCTGGGATTCTGGAGCTGATTAGCTGAATATTTATATAACTGATAACTCTAGTCTGATTGTTTTATGTATAAAATACTGGCATAAGGCCTGAATGCTTTCATTTTGGTCACTAATGGGACCCATCACTCCACCTTAAAATAACGACAGCCTCCTTAATTCTAACTCATAACTGCCAGCCTCCATCATTATCTCAACTCTGGAAAATGCCAAGGCCTCAGAAGCCTCACAGCTGATGAATGGAGAAGGCTGATTAGAACCAGTGAAGAGAAATGGGGGAAAACTCCTTGACAGACGCCTCCTTCAAACAACTGTCCCTTTTATCCAATGTCAACATTAATTTCTGTATTAACAAACAGTTATCAAGGTCATGACTAGGTGTCAAGCTGCAAGCTAGGCTCTGAGGACTCGATGGTGAGCAGTACACAGGCAACATCAAAGCCCAACTTGAAAAAAAAATTCACCCTTCTAGTATATTGATTCTACAGGTTTACTTATCAAGGGCTTGCTATGTCCCAGGCCTGTAGACACAGCATACAGGCTGAAAGATAGCATACAAGGTACATCAGTGCCCTCAAGGAACTTGCAATCGAGTCGGGAAAGCAAGAATTAAGAACACAATCGTATAAGGGAGTATCTCGTGGTCTACAGGAATGACGCTGACAAAAGGGCTGAAGAGGAAGAATATAATGAAAGTAACATGATTACTTTCAAGTGAAAGTGGACTTGAACTTGGTGATGGTGCTTAGGTCTGAGGGAAAAAGAAAAGGCATTCTAAAAGAAGAGAGAGTATGAACAAAAAGGAACAAAGTCACCTTAGAAGGGCAGTGAGGTCTAGTAAGTAGGAACAGTAGGTTCATGTCAGAAAAGTAGAAAATAAAGTTGGTAAGTCAAATTTGGGCAAGAGTGAGGTATAGTAAAACCAAGTTGAGAGGTTGGACCAAAAGTGGTAGGTGGGGGGATGGGGTAGGGGGCATAAAAAGTATTTGAACTAGTGGAGAGAGCACTAGCTCTGTAATCAGACAAACATGAGTTCAACACAGACTTCCTGTGAGACAATCCTTGGAAAGAATTCTACGGAGAAGTGTTTAAGGAAGGCCAATGCAGTGGAAGTACGCAGAATGGGGGAAACTCACTGACAGAGACAACTGCAGTCTTCTTACAACAGTGATGGCTGTGGGCCTGGGCCTGGGGGAGAGTGAAGGACGGCTGCCAAGGAAATGTGGGGTCTGGCTGGGAAAAATTCTGATAAAGGAAGCCTTAACAGGACTTGGTGCCCTCTTTTACTAAGGGACTGAACAAGAATGAAGAGTCAGGGATGGTTCCTAGGTCTGGAGTCAGGGTAATGAAGAGAACTTAACAGTATGAAGAAAAAGAAAGTCTTTTCATTGTGAAAGGAACAGGTTTAGCAGAGAATATGAGAAGTTTACCAGGTATGTGGCCTTTGGCCTGTTGTTAACAGGACATCAACCATGGAAACTATTAAAACAGGAATAGACTTTGGGTTCAGACAAGAGATAAAGATTTGTATGATAAAAGGATAGAAAACACCATCACATTCAAGAATATTTTTATTAGAAAATAAAAATACTAGCTGTTAAACAAAAATAACAGGAATGATATAAATAGTAAAGAGCAAAGCATCTTCACGGCCTAAATAGGCTCTTAGCTATGGTACTTAGGGGATCCTATCCATTATCACAACACTGAACGAATAAACTTCTGTAGAAATTCAACATATGGCCTATTTACATAACAAGCATCACAGCTCCAAATTAGCCATTTTGATGTGTCAAGGAAATAACACCTTCATAGCAGACTACTTCAAAAAATGGATGAAAAAAGGAAGGTTTGTTTTTCTTCTATAATTATGTGTACTGAGCTTTTAACTGTTTGTATCGTGAAAATCATATTTTAATTGTGTGATTACACTCTGAGACAGAACAGGGGTGGAATGAATTTCAGTGGCTGCATTTATGCACAATCATTCGGAGATCAATAAACAGACTCCATCACTTAAATCTGTCCATATTCTATATCTGCCCTCGTGTTCTGTGGCATACTTGTATAAGCAACTGGTCTCTGTACAAAAATTATAACAGCCATATGATTCAATTATCACAGTCAAATAACAGTAAAAGGTCTACAGAAGATGACTAGGAAAGACGTACAAGAGAGCAGTGAGTAAGCAGTATCTGTTCAATGCATACAAAACCCACTCCACTCTAATCACAGGGCGAGACAGGTGGTAGCAGCTTAGATCGTACCATGAGCAACCTCAACTTCTTCCATTTTATGAAACTGTATCCAAAAGTTCCTGTCCTGCCTCACTTGTAAGATGCTGATTAAAGCTGTGTGAAGAGAACAGGATAAAGACCACCTAGGTGCCTTCAACACAAAAGCCATATATGAATATTCATTGATAACAAGAGCAACAATTCTACGATCAGAGACTGAGAAACTCGTAAAACTTAAAACCAAAAATGAGACTTTTAAAGCTTAACTTCGGATGGAAAGTATTTATTTCTATTTGTCGGCAAAGCTGGTCTTTGATATTCTCCCGACTGGCGGCGCGTCAGGCTGCAATGGTGTGGCCAAAGCATTTTCTTTCCCTGATCGTTACAGAGGTGGCGGAGCAGCCTCACAAGCCAGTAGAAACCCCTCCCCACAACGGCCACTTGAAAATCAGTGCAAGCACAGAAATGGTCAATTGAAGACTTTCATTAGGGGGCTCCCTAAAACAAAGTGAATATAAAGGAGTCTTGATCATTTTCCCTGTCTAAGTTAAGTACTTTAAACTAAGTTGACTCCCAGAAAATTATTTAAAATTTTCAAAGGCAGGGATTAAAGAAAAAACAAAATTGCCAATTAATATACTCCTTTCCCAGATGTTGAGTTTTTACTATCCTCTTAAATATTCTCTGCATTCAACTGATTGTATTTTTATGCAAATTATCCTTTGGAGCTCGTCTAGTTTGTGTGTGTGTGTGTATGTGTGTGTATTTAAAACCACACAGATACAGAACTGCACATATTTTCTGTTCTGCTGTTCCATAAAATTGGTTTTAACAAAGCTTGAGTATAATCCAAAACTCTAATTAGAGACCGCAACAGTATTTGCCTTGTCCAAATAGAAAATCATTCCTAAAGTTGATCTTTCCCCAGTTAAAGATGCAACAAATATTTCCACACACAGATTTTTTTAAAAACACTACCATTGTTTGATAAAAATTGCCCCCACCCACACAACACACTGCTTTCTGGTTGATATAATTTTATACGGCCAATGAAGGCAACTGTAGATTTTATTTTCAGACCATCTTTCAAAATTACTGAATTTGTTACTTGAATATATATATATATTATTCAAAATGAAGCAATTTCTGACTTCCTGTCCTTTCTTTTCCCTGCCATATTGCACATCTGCTTAATCTCTAGAAAATAAAATCAATCAGTATGGCAATGAACCATTTCTTTAAGACAAACCGGTCATAAAGGTCACAAGACTTTCAAATACTGGCATAAAGCCTCTTCCTCTGCATAGGTTCTAAAATTTCAGTCATTTCTTTCTTACTTCTGAGGGAACTGGTAAAAGTTTTTAATATGACATTAGAAAATTTAAATAAACAAGTGAAAAATATTACACATAATGTTTTATGTAAAGAAAGAGACTGTGGAGTTCAAGGACTTTCACTATTTCTCAAGCCACAGAAACGGTAACACACGCAGAGGGAAAATACTGCACAGAATCTTTAGTGTCAGGTCTCCAAAACCTTGGCATCTACTAAAACCAGGACTGCTGGGAACTGAAAGCTCAGGAAGTTCACAAAACACACACAACAACACCCCCCCCCCAAGAAGGGGAAACCTCCGGCTGAGGAGAAAATTTCGGTTGCATCCCAGTCCAGGTAAAGTCTCAGCCCTTCACCTCCTAAGTCTGCAGTAAGTATTAACCACCGAACAGAGTGCGAGCGAGCGGGGTCGATCTTCCGAGACGCGGAAAAGTCGAGGGTGTGGGGAGAGCGGGAAGACCCTCTCGCGTCCCCGGAACAACCGCTGTCTTGGGCTCGGGCCGCCGCCGGCCGACTCCCAGTCCACCCGCCCAGACGCGGCA